GAAATGTTGGATGAAATCGATCGGAATAGGCAGCTCTTCTGGATGTGTAAATCCTGTGCTGCCATAATGTCAGACGTTCGTCACAAGAAAAACGTGAAGGCTGCTTACGATGCTGGTTTGGAGAAACAACTGAGCGGTCATACTGAGCTACTGGGGAAACTATAACTGGAAATTCTGGAGGAATTGAAAATCGAAATTCGATCCAATTTCACAAAGTTGACCAATACCACTTCCACCACTCCGGTGTCCTCTAGACGGTCTGGTAATAGGTCACGCACCATAGGAAGCCGACGGTTATTCGAGAAAAAGGACAATAACTTGCCACCTCTTATGACTGCTACCGGAGATTCGCCGTCTCCAAGTCTAGGCCGTCTAACTGTTCCCGTTTCTAAGGATAAGTTTTGGTTATACCTATCTCGGATTTCCCGTGACGTTTCTGCTGAGCAGATCACCGAACTTGCCAAGCATCGTTTGTCAACGGAGGATGTTGAAGTTATCCGACTGGTTGCTAAGAGTAAAGATATCCAAACCATGTCGTTTGTCTCCTTCAAAGTAGGCGTCTCTACAAATTTGAAGGCGAAAGCATTGTCGTCCTCTACATGGCCCAAAGGAATGCTGTTTCGTGAATTTGTTGACAACCGCAAAGCCGAAAATTTTTGGAAGCCGCCTGGATTGCCAATAAATACACCGCAGACAACTCCGAAATCCAGCGAGTCACCTCATCAAATGCCTATGACGGAGTGATATCACTGAGTCAAGACCCAGAGCCACTACGTCGTATTACCTACTACCCGAATCCGGGACGCTCACTTGCCGCTAGCTTCTTGGAAGCCCCTGATCCCCTCATCACAGTCGAGCACCTCCAGCCAGCGACCTTCAGCCGTCCCGGTCCTGTGTATGAGTCCGGAAAAGGGGTCTTCCAAAATCCAACTGCAGGCGAGTATTCTAGTTTTCCGAACAATTCTGTCCCTGAAACGCTTATCACTTCTAGTCGTAATTCGTCAATAAACTCGTTCGTGGTTTACCCTAGTCGGACACCGGGACGCACACTTGCCGCATGCTTTTTGGAAGCCCCTAATTCACCCATCGCAGTCGAGCCAATTCTGCCAGCGACCTCCAGCCGTCCCGGTCCTGCGTTTGGATGTGAAGATGGGGTCTTCCGAAACCCTATTTCAGGCAAGTACGATGATAATTCGAGCAATTCTCTTCCTAAAATGTATGATGCTTACAGCCGCTTATTGCAAAACAAATCACATCCTGTTGTCTTCAACATGCCACTGGGACGCACACTTGCCGCCAGCCTTGTGGAAGCCCCCAGTCCTCTCATCGCAGTCGAGCCTAAGCTGCCAGCGTTCAACAGTCGTCCCAGCTCTGCGCATGAGTTGAGAGAGGGGGTCTTCCAAAATCAAATCGTAGGCAAGTACAGTCAGCAAACAACAACTTCTCTGCCTGTAAATATCTTGGTTTCCAGAGTACCATCTTACGTCTCTGCTCCACGACAATTGTGGTCTAATATTGACAATAACAGCACACCAGCCTCACCATGTTCAATCCAGTTGCCGCTGCACGTCGCAGGTAATTCTCCAGAAGCATCGAGGCCCTCTGACCTTGTCCTGCAAGATGCTGTTTTTGTTCATCGCAACCGACTCGTTCCTGAGATTGAAAGTGGTAGTCCTGTGATCCACCCAGTCTGCGCTCAGACTCAACAGATTACTGGCATGCCTCCCTCATATTCTTCTTCTCAACTTCGTATCTTCTATCAAAATGTCCGTGGACTCCGAACGAAGATCGATGCCTTCTATCTCGCTGCGGCAGATTCGGAGTATGATGTGATAGTTCTAACCGAGACGTGGCTCGACACTTGCATCCTATCAACTCAGCTATTTGGTGGATCATTCACTGTTTTTCGGACTGATCGCAATCCACTGAACAGTAGAAAGCTGCGCGGCGGTGGAGTTTTGATTGCAGTGTCTACCAGATTGTGCTGCTGTGTCGACCCAGCTCCAGTTAGTGATGCTTTGGAACAGCTGTGGGTAAAAATCAAATTGCAAACGTGTTCAGTCAGTATTGGAGTATTATATCTACCACCTGATCGTAGAGATGATCTGTCCCTCATTCAGCTTCATAGCGATTCTGTTAGTTCAGTAATATCATGCTTGAAACCTCATGATTTTGCGCTTCAGTTCGGTGACTACAATCACCCCAACATGCATTGGACTGCTTCAGAGGATGGCGGACTTCATATAGATTCCAGTATATCCCGTTTTTCAACTTCGGATGGTGCTCTATATGATGCCTTTTGTTTCAATGGTCTGACGCAAATCAACTCTGTGAAAAATGCCAGTTCTCGTACTCTTGACTTAGTACTGGTGAACGATACAGCACTACCTAACTGCAGCATTTCTGAAGCGGTTGAATCTCTTGTAGAACTCGACACTGCACATCCCGCTATTGAGGTTGCCGTTTCTTTGCCGTCACCAGTGAGATTTGATCAGCCACACGAGAACCCGCAATTTGATTTCCGCCGTGTCAACTATGACTTGATGAGTGAAGCATTTTCTGTGATTGATTGGCAATTTTTGGATGACGAACGAGATCTGGATGACATCGTTGAGTCGTTCAACTCTGAGATACGTCGTGTTATCGAAGCTCACGTGCCACTTCAGCGTCCTACTCTGAAACCTCCATGGACAAACAATCGGCTTCGTAGATTGAAGCGCCGTCGACGTACTGCTCTTCGGAAATTCAAACGTAATCGATCACAACACCTGAAACGTCGTTTTGTTCTGGCCAGCAATAAATACACTAGCTTTAACCGCGAAATGTATGCTCGTTATATAGACCGTACGCAGAGAAATCTACGCCTGCATCCCAAACGTTTCTGGTCTTTTGTTCGGTCGAAGCGTAAGGAAAATGGGTTACCTTCGTCTATGTATCTCGGTGCCCGCTCTGCTAGCACAGATGCCCACAAGTGTGAGCTGTTTGCTGATCACTTCAAGAGTGCCTTCTCGGACATGTCGATTTTGTCCTCGCATCTAAATGCAGCCATCCATGACACACCATCAGATAGGCTCGACTTTGGAATTTTCCAAATCACTGAGGAGCACGTACAAAAAGCGATACGTAAACTTAAACATTCTGCGTCATACGGTTCGGATGGTATTCCTGCATGCATTCTTAAGAATTGCTCAAGTGTCTTATTGATGCCGCTAGTGAAATTGTTTAATATTTCATTACAGCGAATGACATTCCCATCCGCGTGGAAGACTTCGGTCATGATTCCTATTCACAAAAAGGGGGACAAGTGTGATATTTCCAATTACCGCGGGATAACGTCGTTGAATGCTTGCTCCAAACTCTTTGAGATAATCGTGAACGATGCCTTGTTCGAAGCTAGCAAGAATTACATCTCTAGTGCCCAGCATGGATTTTTTCCAAAAAGATCTGTGACAACGAACCTCACTCAATTCACTTCATTGTGCATTCGATCGATGGACGCTGGCATGCAAGTAGATGCTATATACACTGATTTCAAAGCTGCATTCGACCGAGTGAACCATGCTATTCTGCTTCGAAAACTCGAGAAATTTGGAGTATCCGTCGCCTTTGTTCGTTGGTTCGAATCATACCTGTCAGGACGGTCTATGAAAGTTAAATTAGGCTCCTCACATTCAACCGCCTTCCCGATTGTATCCGGAGTTCCACAAGGGAGCAACCTAGGCCCCCTATTGTTTTCGCTTTTCATTAATGATGCATCGTTTGTTTTACCATCTGGAAATCGTGTTTTCTACGCCGATGATGTTAAGATTTACATGGTAATCACATGCATCGAGGACTGTGCCTACCTGCAGAGTTTGTTGGAGTCATTTGAGGATTGGAGCAAACGGAACTTACTGGAACTGTGTGTAACGAAATGCAACACTATTTCGTTTTCCAGAAAACGTCATCCGATCATCTTCCACTATCGTCTTGCTGGTCATGATCTAGAACGGCTGAATCAGGTTAGAGACCTTGGTGTGTTATTGGACTCTGAACTTAACCTCCGGACACATTATGCTGATGTGATTTCAAAAGCGAATAGGCAGCTTGGATTTATCTTTAAACTTGCCGATGGATTCCGTGACCCTCTGTGTCTGAAATCACTGTACTGCGCCTTGGTTCGCTCGATCCTTGAATCTGCTGTAATAGTTTGGTGTCCGTACAGCAGTATATGGGTTGACCGTATAGAATCGGTTCAAAGAAAATTTGTGCGCCTAGCTCTTCGTTATCTACCTTGGCGTGAACATCTAAATCTACCTCCCTACGAACATCGATGCATGCTGTTAGGAATTGAAACACTGGAGAAACGAAGGTCTGACATGCAAGCGGTTTTTGTCGCCAAAGTATTAACTAGTGAGGTGGATGCACCTGCCATTCTTGCCGATATCAACGTTTATGTACCTGAACGCCCCCTTCGTCGGCGTAACTTCCTGCATTTGGCATCCCGCAACAGTCGATACGGGCAACACGACCCAATACGGTTCATGGCCTCTCGCTTCAATGATGTATCATGGATTGATTATGAGCAGGTGAGTGACTGTCCATCCCCTGATGACTGTATGAATTGTGCTACCTGTTTTCATTTTTGTTTCCGGTTGCTTTCGACCCTTCCACGAGGACTTGACAATCAATGACGATGCTGCACTGTTGCTGACACACTTTTATGACATTGACCGCATTTTAACGTTTTTAATTTACACTGTAGTAATTATTGTATTTTGCATTGTTTTTGCTGTGAACTGTGTAATTGTTAATGTTTAGTTTCTGTTTCTATGTACTTAATTTAAGAAAAGAAACAGGGTTTTTATGCCAATTTGAGTTCACCATGACTCAATTTGGCTTTTCCCTGTCCAACTTCATTAAGACAACCTTGTCAGATGGAGGAATACAAATAAATAAATAAACAAAAGCCGGATATAGAACACAACAATCCCAACACACCAAAAATCAATTCCACATACCTGCTGCTGGACGACATCCTCGACGTCAACGTTATGGCTTGTGCGGCGTGATAGCGCTTGATGCTCCGGACGGTCCAGCATCCTCTCGAGATGGTTCTACGGTACGGGCAACAACAATAAAGAAAAAGAATGTGAACATTGATTAGAAGATGAAGAAACCCGCTACGGAAAATTGATTAAGTATGTGGGGCCCGGTCCCCGGTTGGTCCACGGGATTGAAGGGTGGTGATGGTGATATTGGAAGTGTGGGTGAGTGGTTTTTATTAAAACGGGGTGGATGGATTGAAAGTGCAATAATCCAACCCACTTCAAGAGTGAGTGAGTGAGAAGTGGAGCTGGTAAGTGGGTCTAAGTAAAATATCAGTGCGGAACGGCTACATCCGGTGATCTATATAGGCTATCAAAACTTGGACTTTCGCAGCCTTCAAAACTTTGCAGGGCGAGGTATGGGATAGAAATTTTAAAATGCTTATATGTCTCAAATTAGGCTTTTATTAATTTATCAATGATTCTCAAGGGCTATTCAATAAACGTATATAGGTAGATTTTGACATTTTATCCTAAACTTCTCTCTCATACTATGCAACATTTTGAAATCTGAATCATCAAGCCTTTTTTCAGGGTGCAGGAGGCCTACTTTTAATGGCCTATAGATTCAAGCGATTAAGGGCGAGAGGGACGGATTTTAATTGAATGGTGGTTGTACTTGCTCGCTCTAATTGGATGCCACTGACGTCAAAGGTGCTTGTTAGCATGTTCTTGCAGATAATCATCATAATGTATGCTCAATCATTTTATCGATACAGCTTTGTGCTTCTTGAATATGTATGTATAACCTGTTCGCATGAATCATACAGGTAGGGCCAATATGAATATAAATTGTGTTTCATTGAAATTAGACAAAATATAACAATACCATGAATTTAACCTAATTCATGGCTTTGCAGCAGTAATCGGATTGATGCCCACTCCCGCTCGGTATATGCTCGTTTGTTGCGCTTTGACCTTTTGTTGCCTGAGAACAACAGGAGTCATTTCCAATCACGATATGCTGCAGGTACTTCCGGTTATGGGAGCCGATTTGAACGTTGATTGAAATTGGCAGCATGTACATACACCAATGCTGCAGTAGTGTTCCACACTTTGATTAAACAGACTAACGAAGAATATGATTTTTGGGGAAAAATGCGCAAATTAAGGTACAAAACCTGGACAATTCCAGTCAACAGCATCATAAAGGAGCTACTCCAAATGGTCGATACAATCGATGGAAAATTTCAATCAACCCACACCCCCTCTCCCCAGCAATATTTTGCGGGATATTCCCCTAGCGAACCGGAATATCAAGTGAAATGAAAAAAAAAACTTTTGTTTGCAATCAACGGGTAACCGACTGAGAAATTGCAATTATTTATTTAATGAATATTGTTCTGCTACCGCTGCTTGCTGAAAAATGGTCGAGATCAACGGTAATTAAATGCGTGGAATAAATATTTAAAAGAAAGTAGAGCACACATTCGCACTTGGGTAACAATAGGAGAACAATACATTGTTTTTGGTTCAGGATCGATTGATTGAATACCATTTGATCAGACACTGATGACATTATAATCGTTCATCCACATTTTAGTAAGCAACGGATCGCCTGAAAACTCAATTCGCAGTTCATCCTTCTCATGTGTATCGCATGATGAATTTTGACCTTAGTTAGAAACTGGTTACTTCTCCGGGGTTCCCGAAAAATGGCAGAATGTGATCAGCGTGGTCTTGGGCACTCTAAACAACCCCGAGATTGATCCTCTTCATGAAGAGCATAATTGCTATTATCGTTCATAAACGAGGCTTTGTGTGGTAGCTTGTGTCGTTTCTCTCGCTTACGCTGACCGCGTTGACGAAATCAACAAACATGAGTGTTCCAAGAAGAACTCTCTTTTTTTCTGTGTCCACCAAAACTTTTGCACTTTTTACTCGCTTATGGGGTGTTTACACTAATGCTATTTCACTGGCGCTAATGAGCTCACCAGCATAATGTAAACAGGGCATCAGTGTCTACCAGCATGATATTTCAGGAGCAACTGAAATTCGTGCTAGTTGGCTAGTAAATTAGCGCTAACAAATCCGCACATATGTAAACACCCCATAAATCATACGAAGAACGCCCTCCACCGCTCGTGATGTGAACGACGAAGAGAAGAAGAGCATGCAGACGAAGATTTGAGTGGTGTACCGGCACTCACACTCCTCTCTCACCGAGCATTATTTACGATTTGCTTTTATGTGGCGTCCACATCATTCAATAGAGATGAGATACCGATGCTTTGAGTACCGTCGCACACGGTGAACGAATATGAGAGAAATGATGCGAATATCAGTAGCCTCGAACAATTCACTGTCAGATGGGTCTAAACAACTTTGTCCACGACATGTTGTCACTTGAATAATTACGAGTAAATATTGAACTATGCTGTCTTCTATTAAACGAATCTATCCTATTTTATCAACTTTTCTGAAGATAGGAGTCTTCTATCTGGTCTCGACCTCAAGTTATCACTAGATGATCTATTTTAGTATGGATGTGTCAATTTCAAACTAAAATTAACGCTACCGAATGTATCTCGATTATTTGAATAGATTTTAATCAAGGTTGCAAAGACTCATTTCAGCTAAAACAATGTTTTTCTAAATTATGAAATAATTAGATGCCATGATCAAATTTTGAATTGGGAGGATACAAGAAGAGGTTGCAAAGAATGTGTTTGACATATTAAACCTGTTTATTTCACTTCATGAGAGTCACAATCAGCGATTTTTCACAAACTCACTCACTCACTCACTCACTCACTCAGCGATCAGCAAATCGCTGATTGTGGCTCATAGAAAGCAAAATTTACAGGTTTTATGTTTCCAACGCATACTTTGTAACCTCTTCTTGTAAGTTACAAGTAAAACATGCCATCATACCATCTTGTGGTTTTATTATTCCGAAAAACATTATTTTAGCTGAAATGAGTCTTTACAACCTTGCTTTTAATATAATAGAAAACGTCTATTGGGTCACGATTCTGAGTTATCACTAAAAGAATTACTCTGGTGTCACCTAACAAGCCAATTTGCAACTTAACTGTCTACTGCCTTAATTGTCTTATCCAGATAAACAACTTTGCTGAAGGCAAACAAAATGATTTTGAAAAAAACGCATCAACCCCATCAAAAATAAGAATTCTATGCAACTCTCTCTATCTCTATCTAGCCAGTAAACTCTCAATTAAACTGTGCTCTGCTAAACGGATCTCGTCCATTCTTCCTCTTTGGTTGTACTCTGGCATCACCTAGTGAGTCAATTTTTTAACTAAACAGCTTACTACTGAACGGTTCTCATCCTTTGGATCAAATTTGCTCAAGACAGGAAACTTTTATCTGGTCTTGATCCTGTGTTATCACTAGATGAACTGTATTTGTACTCTCGCACTGCCTTGTGAGTCAATTCCCAATTAAACTGTTCACTACTGAACATGTCCATTTGAACAACTTTGCCAAAGGCACAAAACTTCTATCTGGGCTCGATCTTGAGTTATCAACTGAAACACTTTATTTGTACTCTGGCGCCACCAAGTAGAATGTTGACGCCACATTCGGTTACTCCACAGATCTTCTAGCAAACGGATCAACCACATATTGTGACATGCTGTTGAACACATTGCGGTAAGCTCTGCTTCTGTTGATGAAAGGGAGACTGTCTGCTACTTCCGGGCTGTACAACCAACTGTAGCTTCAAACACTTTGCATAGACAGCCAAGGACTGAACGCCTATCAAACTGATCGTTGGCCCAATGAGCGTCAGAATACACTTCCTTCTGTGGTATAGCCAAGTAACCACCAAGCCCGCTAACTACCCGATAATCGCCCTTTTTGCGATATAAGGTAAGTATAGGGTTTCCGAACTTCTATCAGTCGCAGCCTTATATACCAAAAAGGGCGATTAATGGGCTTGTTGGTTACTTGGGTACAAAGCCCATACTAATGGTTCCTTTGATGTTTCGTAGAATCCTTTTAAGATGCACCCAGTGAACTTCATTTGGGCAACTCTGAAAATGACTCAGAATGACAGCAGCTACCAAGTCAGGTCTTGTCGTCATCGCCGCATAAGTTGAACAACCTACCAATTCTCGATACGGCTTGGTGATCCTCTTCTCCTCCACTCCTTTTGGCAACTTCAGGCTATGTTGAGACTATGGGGTTGAGATCGGCTGACACTCGCTCATTTCAAATCTCCGCCTTATATCTTCGTGATATTGCTGCTGACTTATACGCATGACTTCGCTTTCTAAATCGTAGTCGATCCTTATTCCCAAAAAGTTTCTGATGTCACCGATGTCGGTCATTTCGAATTCCCGAGATAGAAGATCCTTCACCGTTTTCAATGCCTCAAGTGATCCTGCTAAGAAAATGTCATCGACGTACAACTCAATTATCAATTTCTTCGATCCGATCTATCGCGTGTACAGGCATTGGTCGTTTTTACTCCTTCGTAACTTTAGCCGTTGCTCGAAGAAATTGTGGAAGCGGTTATTCCACGCACGTGGCCTGCTTCAACCCGTAGATAGATTTTTCCTGATGACACACTAAACCTTCTCCTGCTCGACGCCTTCCTCTTAAGAAGGCTGTCTTTTCGTCCATCTGATGTACGACCAACTTCTCCTGGTTCGCAAGTGCCAACACAGTGCGTCGATCCCGTACCTTTGGTTGAATCTTCGAGCCACCAAACGTGCCTCCACAGTTCTACGTTGTGCTTCCGCTAGGGAAGTTGGGAGATCTTCAACGTAACTTGTTGTATTCAGCGCAAACGCAGCATAGTCCACTTCGTATCCTGCATGCCAGGACGAAGCGTACACTGCCCACACGAAGGGAGACCCGAGGATGAAAAAGAAGCGTTTTATCCGCAGGCCAACGGCCAACGATGCGTAAACTTTGCAGCTTTTTTCCCCCGCAAGGATATCCACAAAGCCACTTGGAGATCACCTGACCAACACACAGAAAACCAAATCGATCACTCCCAAAAATTCTTCTCCGATATTTTTAACGTCCGCACATACTGC